CCAACAAACTAAATTTTCTGTTTAACATCTTACTTGGTAACAATATGAATGAGTTAAGTACATTTCTAGTAAGCTATACATACGAAATAAATTGTCACAAAATAATTCCATTTAAACTAGGTAATCGAAGGCCTTGAATCATTAATTCCAATAGGTTGATACATATGTTAAAACTCGATTCATGCCCTTTAATTTTCATTATATGTATACATACAATAATTTTATTTAGTATGTAGATTAAGTTAGCATTGTGCATTGATTACAATTATAATTATTAAATGAAACATCTTCACAAAACCCTTGATTTACAAAGATTTTGATTATTATTTTTTTGTTGTTGCTAACATATAAAGATTAGTGATTTAATACTTTTTAAGATAAATACTTCAATCATGAATAAAACAAAAGGTATATTTTCCAAGATTCTATCAACATCAAACTCGTTTGAAAATGTTTTATTTGAATATTCTAAATTCTATAGTTTATATTTTATTCAGTCATAAAACATTTTACCATTTACTATATTAAAGAAATCACAAACAATATTCCAGTTATACGTACAAACATTTTATTCAATAAGAAAGATTAGTACAGCGAAGAATTCTCTTTTCAGCGAATTTATTTTCAAAGCGGTACAACCGCAAATATATGTACTTATTTTTACAGGACAATAATAATACTGATAATAAACTTGTTATACATGGTGACAGTAAGGTTAAATAAACAAAATAAAAAAATTTAAAACAAGGAAAGTTTAATAATCGTTTGATTGTTAATGGCTTAAGTATTCTTCAAAAGATAGATAGGGAAATTATCATTGGGAAAAGATGGCTCAGCATGATAAAAATAATGTTGAAATTGAGATTGGATGTAATCAGAACGATCGTGAAAACATAAATAAACCATAAATAAGAACTTTCCTTTAAATTTGATCGAATAGTTTCACAGTATTTTTGGCGCCGAGTTAATGTGAGACATTGAAGAGGAAGAATGTATTTGTAAAATCTCAGCAAATGAATTTTGAAGTAAATCCAACGTTTTGCCTGGCAATCTGGTCCAAGCATTTTCAAGGAAAAATAATCAAACATCAAAATTATTGAATATAAGTAGGTACATGGTTCTCCGGTTTACTGTATACTGAATAAGTCATCCGATCAACATTAACAATGTTTAAAGTAGATATTTACATTAGTGTGTAAGAGACATGTGGTGTGAAAATGAAAAGTGTTAAGATAACAGATTGTGTGTATATGTAAGTGAGAAGAAATTTCATTCACTATATATTGTCTTCGGTCGGTAAATGTTAAGAAAACATATAATTTTTTATATATGATATGAATCAAAAATGTCACAGTGTGCATTTAATGAAGATAAATAAACAAGATAAAACAATGAATTCAAAGAGGAAGAATGTATTTGTAACTGGAAGTTTCTGTTATTTTAATGTTCCAGTCAATTGTTTAACATATTCAGATAAGATAACTGATTTGAACCGTTGAAAGTAATATCTGTTAATTAGTTTAATACGATATAGATAGAATGAAATAAGGATTTCAGGTTTACTTATTAATTATTAGTTGCCATGGGACAGTTAGTTGTATTCCATCTCTCCTATTAATATTGTTTGGATTAGTCCATATTTGTTGGGCTTCGCTGTTACTCTTTCTTTGTAAGAATTAAAGCCTTTTTGAAGGATTCTTGTGCCATTGAAATCAATTGTATGACCCGATTCTATCGAGTGTAATGCTATCACTGATTTGTTCTCGAGTTTTCTTACCTCAACTGAAGATTTAGGAATGTGCTTTAAGCATTGTTTGTGTTCCTTCACCGTCACATTCAGTTACCTTGATGTTTCACCCGTATATGTTGGATTACAGTCACTACATTTGATTTCATAAACACAATTCTGTTGTTCTTCCTTGTGTACTGGGTCTTTGATTCTTACTAGTTTTGATCTTAGAGTATTGTTTGTTCGAAAGTATACTCTTATATTTTGAAGAGTTAGAATCCAATCGGGGGTAGAAGATTTAAGGGAAAGACGGAAGGTAAAACAGGTGGTTGTAAAGGAAGAAGAGCATGAAAAAGAGAGAAAAATTTAGTACATTAAGACCATGGTAGAAGAAGAGGTTGTACTAATCTCTTTTGCACACAATTCTATTTTTACAGATGTATGGCTAATGCTTCGGCAATGCAAAGAAGCTGCAATCCAATTGTCTTAGGAAGACTTATACTTACCTTGTAGATGACTTTGAACACAGAGTCTATCTTGATTGAATGACCTGTGTTCACAAGGCGTTCGATTATTAAACTACTTATTGAGCCGTTGCCCCCTCTTGTTAGCCACTCCGGACAATGTTCTTGAATTCTTTTGGATAAAGTACGCATCTAACGACCTATATATCTAACTCCACATGAGCATCTTACTGTTTCTAATTAAATTCATTTTAATTACTAGTTTTACAAATCATTGTAAGTAATGCGTAATTGATTGTAAAGGTAAACATTACAATGTTACAGCAATAAAAACGGACATTCAAAATATTGGATAACTTTAGAAGAAACACAATAACTATCAAATTTTTGAAGTACAACTTACAAATAATAAAATTTGCAGTAATACAAGAAAAATTTGATGAATTATGTGTTAAATCATTTTTTTGTACCACATGGTACGTTCAAGTCATCCAAGAATGCTAGGTATTATGTTCAATAACAAACGTTCCTCAAGAGAATGATGAAAAATCGAAATCGCTCCTAGATTGAGTTTCATAATCCTCTCGAATACATCACCGGTATCTACAACAGTTGGTAACTCAGGATTCGCTTGACTAGTTGACGGTACACGGTTATCCATAGCATCATTTAGGGCAACAAATCAGGCATTACTTTCCTTCATATTTGTTGATGACGTAATGAACAACATTATGACAAAAGACATTTAAGAGTAAATATGCGAACAGTTAGAAAATCACAAGTGGAAGTAACCCTGAGATCAGCCAAGAAAAAGCGTACGACGGTTTCCGATATCTACGAAAATTAATGGAATTAAAACGGATTGGAGGTCACCACATGGATAATGTAAGAATGCTAGAAAGTACGTAACGACCGGAAGTTACTAGCAAAATACCAAGGAAATACGTAATTTACTCAAAGTATTTAACCCTAACATTTTAAATAACGAAATTCCAGGACACTGAAGCAACAAAAACTGCAATGATACAAGAAAATCAATGAAAAAACACACAGGACGAAACATGTCAAAAATGATAATCCCGCCTCATTCTGATTGGATGCTGGGGTGGGTTGTTGAAATTACAAAGAGAGTTGAGTTTATTTACAATCGTTAATTATTTTGCTAACCATCACTTGGTCAGCGTGAAGAAGTAGAAAAACTACGAAAATAAGAATTGAGATGTACTTATAATATTCCAGTATGTAGAAAATTGAATTTCTGACGTTCCACAATTTACTATTAATCTCTTCCAGAAGTAAATAACCTTTTTCCAAATTTACATACTAAAATGAATGTCAATTCAAAATATTTAGTCAACAACGAACAAGTTTGATCATGGTTATATCACATGATTCTGGTCAAAATTTTGGTATGTTTTGTGTAAGTTAATGTATATAAAAAGTGCGATGATAATGAAACAACGAGCAAATCAACTTTTACATTGGTGGTGAGAGATTCGAACAAACTATTGTGACAGAAAAGTTAGCATAGACAGCTGGAAAATTCAGCCCTTCCTTTAAGTTGAGTGTAGTTTGGATTTTTTTAAAAATATGCAAAACGCCCTGGCTACTCGTTTTCATAGTTGAAGTAAATATTTTGTATATTGGAAAATTTTCAATATCAATCTGATAATTGCTGATAGTTGTATATCCTCTTATGCGAATTAATTTGTGAATGTCCAGCTTCTATAGGGCTATTAGGTAGAGTTTTTATGCTCCTTGTAACAAAGCAGAATTTCTTGGGAAGAATAGCCTATAAAGAATCCATCACAGTGGACACAACTTCATCTATATACACAATCCTGTGTCGAAGAAAATAGAGGTACTTTTCCTGTATTCGAGGTAAACCATTTCAAAGTATATAGGACGTGTTTATACGATGCTGTAATTATGAGCTCCTCCAAAAAGTCATGACTCTTCATTCATACATTGCAACCAGGTAAACATATTGTACCAACCTATAATATTACACTCGAGATTCCGTTTATAAGCAAAACAAACCGTCTAATGGTATTCACTGAAATGTTATTCAGCTCCAAAGTGCAAACTATATTCGTATGGATTTTCTAATTTTTATTTTTTTAGATCTAAGCGTTTAATAGCTCTTCTGAATATATAAATAAATAAATAAGAGAAAGTTCATGACTAAACTAACGCACAACTTTGAAATCTATATACAGGTATAGGTGTATGAAATTACGTTTAACTTAAATCGAGAATTCAACTTATATCTTGTTAACTAGACTTTCTGAAAATTGTTGTTTAACACTCAAAAAATTGGTTTTGTGTCTATGATTTAAATCTTTATTCAACAAGTAATACCATACTTGGAAAAGTAAATATATAAAACATTTCATGGATTTCTTTAATTAAGCTCTAAAGTATACATTATGGTCACAGAATTGAATTAGTTTTTCTAGTCGTTTATCTCAGTGTAAGAAATAAACATAAGTATCTAATAATATTTCACTATTCAGTTAACTTTGATAAAAGTATTAAAGTAAGTTATGTTCGAAGGTATTCGATATTATTCGTTTAGATCTATATGTTCCAAACTACACTAACCTAATTTTATTAGACTGTCATTTAGTGTAAAAATCACTATTTTTGAGAAAAATACTCTTATCAAATCAATATTTAAATGATGAAAGAGTAGCGTAAATTTACTGTCACAAAACTCACATATCCAATGTCACTCTATAAATCAGTTGATCAATAATTTCGTTCCTGTAAACAATTTTGTTTTAGTTATCTTAAAATGTTTTCCACTATATGACAACGCATTTAGTAAATGATGATGATGATGATGATGATGATGATGATGATGATGATGATGATGATGATGATGATGATGATGATGATGATGATGATGATGATGATGATGATGATGATGATGATGATGATGATGATGATGATGATGATGATGATGATGATGATGATGATGATGATGATGATGATGATGATGATGATGATGATGATGATGATGATGATGATGATGATGATGATGATGATGATGATGATGATGATGATGATGATGATGATGATGATGATGATGATGATGATGATGATGATGATGATGATGATGATGATGATGATGATGATGATGATGATGATGATGATGATGATGATGATGATGATGATGATGATGATGATGATGATGATGATGATGATGATGATGATGATGTTGATGATGAAACATTTTGAAGCCTACAGTACATACTTCAAATTAAAAGTAGTTTGTTAGCGGCTTTTTTTTATGGCTGATAACTAACTTGATATATTTTTAATTCCGATTGACTTAATAATATAAAGAAACACACCTTAAATAGGAATCCCGAAGTGTTCTGAACAAAAAACGACTAACAAAACTGAAGTATTTAAATGAAAATAAACTTATAAAATTTACTTCTATAAAATGTTTTGTGTTTTCTTGAGGTATTCCATATACAAAATTTCATAAATTTAAAGAGTTTAGAAACTCTCATTACCGATATACTGAAAAGTATAAATAAATATTGGCTACAACTGCGTTTCACCATTAAAATGAATTGTAAAGTCACTTGCAGCTTCATGAAACGTCCCGCTTATCAGCGTTGGATTTTCACAAGCTCCTTACAATGCACTGAAGCATGTCGGACTACTTCGGGTAACCTCAGGTTTTACCATAAACAAAGATTGTTACGTAACGAAATTGTGCAAAGCTTAGGTAAAGACCGTATATCTTAGCTAGCTGAAAACAACACCTGCATCTGGTAATCGTCAGAAGCTATTTCAGCTCATCCGAGCCACCGGCAGCAAGAAGTCTGGTGTGAGTGAAACAATGTGTGAAGCTAATGGAATACAAATGAATAACATCTACCGACGTCTTGGATGATGATCAGAGTTTTTCGAGGCGCGCCTCAACTGGTCTGCTTCCCAGGTGACATGAATCAGACACACCACCAGCCCATTTTAATGATGGCGAATTTCTGGTTATTGAACTGAGTTCTTTGCAAATGTCTGGTAATCGGAACGTGTCCTGACATCTTGGGATCAGTCGATAGTTGTTCTTATCTTTGAAAATGGTTTACGTCACCTAAGCAATAACTATCGGAGGATAAAAAATTTTTTCAATTGCGTCCAAACTATTGGCTTCTATCATACTTCTTAGATTTTTAAAAACCCATGAAAGAATAACTCGCAGGAGGCAGGCTGGTTTTTGTTCTGGTCGAGGATGTTTTGATTATATCTTCACTCCACGCCAAATGTTAGAACACTGCCAAGCTTATTACAGGTCGATAATCGTTGTGTTTCTTGACATACGGACATCCGTTGATTAGCTGGACAGAACTGTTCTCTGGGATTCTCCATTGAAGAATGGTTTGTTTGAGAATTTCATTAACATGTCTTATATACAAGCATCCCAAGCAGAGTGAGAGTAAAAAACCACCACTTTCCATTGTTCTATTCAAGCGGTGGAGTTAGACAGGGTTTCCCAACCTCACTATTTCTCTTTAACTTTATCACCGATGACGTTCTGGAAACAGTTCTGACGGATGGAGGTAATGGCGGTGTGGATCCGTTACCTGGAGAACGAATTCTCGACTTCGAGTATGCGGATGTTATTGTCTTACTGTGCAATAATACCCAAGCCATGCGATACGCACCTAACCAGTCGGCAATTAGTATACTTAAGTATGGTATGTTCTGTTCACCTTTGAAGTGTAAAGTACTTCTACAAGACTGGCAGGACCTTGATCCTGCACTCACTCAGATAGAAGTAGTCGAGAAGTTCATGTATTTGGGTAGCTGCATATGAGCTGGTGGTTGTGTGAGTATATTGAAAGTTAGAGTGACTTATGCCAATCTGGACCACCTTTGGCGCCTTCGTGATGTTAATCTAGCCGTAAAAAGTCAGATCTACAACGCATCGATGAGAGGACTTTTGCTTTATGCTTGTGAAACCGGCCATCTCCGAGTTACGTATGTTAGACGACTCTCTGCGTTTGATCATCGTTATCTCCGAAAGATTGTTGACATACAGTAAAGCAAAATTTTATTAAAACAGATGTTCGGCAACGTGTGTTCGGGCACAGTGACGATAATGCAATTGGTGTCACTGTCATGAAACGTTGACTTCGGTGGATTGGACCGGTTCTACGAATATCGTCCCGGTGAATTCCACATCGTGCATCATTTACCGACGCTGACACCAGTTGGAAAAAGCGGAGATGTGGTTTGTGCACAACATGGTGTCGTGGTATGAAAGAAACCTGTACAGGACTTGCTTCTATAGATGCCTCACGACTTTGTGGTAGAAGCACCAGAAATGGTGGAACACAGTGGCTAGAGACGTTATCAGACATGGCTCAGAATATAAGCCAGTGGTGATCCCGTTGTATCTTTCTTTTACTTTCTTCATAAAAGTGAACGTAACTTCTTTAACTGAGGGTATTCTTTCTGGTTGTATTTTTCTTAACTAAGCTGCTTCCCCAAGTATCATTATTATTCCACCAATCTCCACTCACTGTTGCTCATTTTTTGACTATACCCACCTATTCGCTATTCCTTTCAAAACCCCGTTGTTATTGTATGGCTCGTATGTATTTGGTGCCCCTTGTACTAATGTTTATGTGTTCAAATAAATAAACTGATATGTTATATTACTAGGATGATATGGAGTTTTCAAGCATCCCTTTTAGTCACTGAAAATAAAATATGATTGACATAAAAAGTGTATTAAGATATCACATTTATTTAGTTCCTTTGAATCAATAAACTGCTGTCTCTTATTGTTAGAAAGATATATACTACTATTTTCTTCTCTCCTGACCTTGACCAAAACAACTAATCGTCCATAATCATCTCCATTAGTCTCATCAAATCAAACATGTATATACATTAATTATGCTTTCGGTCAGATTAATTAATTAAAAGCAAACATCTACATATACTAATCAAGATGAATAAATCGTTCTACCTTTCTTTAGGTTATGACCTCCAGGAATCTAATCCATTTTTCATACATTAATTTTATATCAATGACAGTACATCAGTTTGTTAGAAGAAAAATATATAACAAATTGTGAATTATTGGTTTCCAAACAAATAACTGCGTGAATTATGATTTCAAGTATGTTATAAGGAAACATCCTTTTAAGAATGCAAGTTTACTATTAATCTATGAAAAGACTTAGCTATTAGAATGACTGATGGAAATGAAAATGTCATTTTAAATGCTGTTTCCTATCAAAAAATTTAATGTCACAGTGATTAAATACACTTTAGGAACGGCGACACTATAATTTATGGACGAATCAATCAGATTTAGGATGACAGGTCTCGGATTTTGAGGCGAAATTCACTCACCCAATTGTCTAAATGGCGTCCTGGCATTTTAGATAATGTCAGTTCGTGATAAAAATCATAAATCTAATTCCTAATCATCAACTGTAAATCATAATCCTTACTCTTCATACTGCTTTATAACCACCATTCAGCCTTAGTAAGTATGCAGACATTCTCTAAGTCACTTTAGCGTCGCTCAGAGGTCGTCCACAAATTATAGTCTCACTTTAGGAACTTAGGAAATTCTTCCTAAGTAACTTTTTTGAATCATATATTTGTACAATATTTAACTGATTTATAATAATGTAGGACTATTCTCTATAATTAAGTAATAATATATCTTTGAAAAAAATGTAATAAATTATTATGCTTAAACTCATTTTATTTAATCACAAAAGAACGTCAATATTAATATCAAAGTAGTCACTCATTTGAATCGGTTTGACAACTAAATTACCTTCATCCCCTTAAGCTAGATGTGCTACTACAAACTCAATCAATATGATCACATCTAATTTTTATACATATACTAAAGAATATTTTCTGAGTTAATAATTGTAATGATATATAATGGTTAAATATTTTGTATATGAAGCTGATTGATAAATAATAATCGATAGTTTACACAATGAATGAATCTTTGTTGATGGGACAAAAATTAATCGACTAATTTAATAATAAATTGAATGAAAATTGCAATTTCATTGGCAAATAATTCTTTATAATGACAAAAATAAGATTATAAGACAATAATGGGACGTTTAAAATACCAGTACATCATTAAATGATATTTTGTATATAAAAATCTCTGCTTCAATAGACGTGGTCTTCAGTATTGTTACATATTGCAAATTTTCTTTCAAACTCGAATTTTAACCTTTAGATTTTATTAATCCAATAACGTCTCGATGGTATCGTGTCTTTAAGGAACTAGCATCAGATACGCTATTAAATTTTATAAACATTTTATACAGTGGTATATTTTAGCAGAGATACAGCATTCATATAAACTTCACTAATTTTCTAAACAATTATTTAATAATCTAAACGACTGTGAAAACAGATGGCTTTGTTTGGTTTCGAGTCACCGAGTTAAATTAATAATTAGTATACAGTTCCATTTTTTATAATTTATTTTAATTAAGTATATGTAACAATATGAAGTATTAAAACTCCTCCTGTAGCTCTTTTAGAGTTACTGCCGGTCTCAAAACCCAAATAAGAGAGGAGGGTTGGGAGTGATCTCGTAGAAAACAACCTTGTTAAAAAAAATGCTAACCAGAATAAGCAATTCACACCATTTAAACTCTGCCCTCCAAATTGAAGGAGGAGTTATGACGCCTCATGATGAAAGCCGAGATTCTTCGGAAGTCAGTAGGTCAATGCCCACTCTGACAACATGGACAATGTGGGAGACCAGGAGAACCAGTCAAGTAGCAACGGAAATGAGGAGATAAAACTTGACGAATCTCGGAATCAGTGGAACCCATTAGACCCAAGCTGGACAACAAACATTAGGTACGGGAGAGCTGCTGCTATATTCCGGTCACGAAGAGAGAAATGTTCCACACACTCGGAGAGTTGCTATGATGCTCTCTCAAGAAGCACGAAATGCAGTTATAGGATAGGAACTCCACGCATCCAGGATCATCAAAACATTCAGAACAAAGAAGGAGGAAGTTACAATGAATGTTATTTAATGCTATGCACATACTAATGATAGCAGTGATGACGACAAAGATCAGTTTAACAAGAGGCTGCAATCGATCATAGTTAAGTGCCTAAGGAAGGACCTCACCATTCTGATGGGAGATCTAAACGATAAATTCGGAATGGACAACAACAGGCATGAAGATATCATTGAATGACATGGACTAGAAGAAAGGAACGA